ATCAACTTATTTTTTATATATCTCAAACCTTGCGTAAGTTTAATACTGCGAGAAAAAAATCTAAGTGAGAAAAATTAGGATATATCTACAAAGTTCGTTTAATAACTAATTTCATTAAAGATATATCCATAGCCTTCGTTTATTTACTAATTTCCAGACTACAGCTTGAATTCCCCTTACAGATTTACATGTAGTATATACTTATAATCAACATAGTATTCAAGATATTTTTACTCCATATTTGAGGCCAACATAAATGTTCAGTAAAAAATATTTTTACCCCATATCTGAGGCCTGAGTCAATGCTCAAAAGAGTTTCCAATAAAATCTATTCTTGCGCTTGTTCGTGCAGATCATAACGTTTAAAGTTATTGGTTATTGGAATTTGTTCGTTAAAATGTTGACCATCCTGTAGTTTTCTCGGTTTTTTCCCCCTCATCCGTCGTATATGTCTCTCTGTTGTTATCAGCCGGAAATATAATCTTATACTCAAGAACGTCTCAATTATTACCGATGTCGTCTGTGTTTACTAATGGTTCTGGTTTCTGCTGACTGCAAAAACAAACTCGGAAATCATTGGGACAAATGCTAAACATGACAGATTAGATACCTAAACAAACGTCTTGGTGTCATGGATCTCTTTATTAAGCCAGTTTTAAGCTAACATGGAGGATCACAAGGACAGACGAATCAAATGGAGATAGTGAATTAATAAAGAAAAAAATAAATGTATACCAACTGGGCCAGACACTTTTACATAGTGCAACATATTATATGTTAAAATTGTGGCTCCATGGTTGAATGAGAAAAATGGAGATCCACCTTTTCAGTTCTAATGGTCAGAAGCCAGAAGAGCTTTAGCATTAGTAAGATGTCTGTTCGTCTATCTGTATACAAGTGAGCTTTTCTGATCACATTTTGTCCATCTGTCTTTTCACATTTTCAACTTCTTCTCAAAGACCACTGGGCAAATTTCTACCAAACTTGCCACAAAGGATCTTTGGGTAAAGGACCGTTCACGGTAGCTCAGTCGCGCTCGCTCCGTGATTGGGAGGTCGTAAGTTCGAATCTCGGCCGCGATACCTAAGTCGATAAAAAAAAATGGGTAGCAACTGTTCCTTCGCAGTGCGAATATGCCCCAAAATGTATAGGTATACATGTATCTTCATATATAGTACTTAATCAATTTCTGTACACAATATGAAATTGCTTCTTTGAAAACTACTTGAGGTATTGCGTCACAACAAAAGTGCCAATTGAAATACATTCCGACATACATAAAGACAAAGTAACATGACCCATAAATTTATTCAATGGTGTCTTCCTTTTATAGTAAAGAACCTTTGTACACAATTAGAAAACATTACGTTAAAAACGGTTTGAGTTGTCGCGTCACAACAGTAGTGTTAGACAGGCAGACGGACGGATGGACAGAGAAAGGACAATATGATTTCAATTGGATGCCGGCATTTTCATGTGGGGCCGGAATTACGAAACAGTAAACAACATTAATTCTTGTGTTTGTAAGAAAAAGAAAAATAGCTTTTATTGGTATCGCATTTTTGAACCATTCACGGTAGCTCAGTCGGTAGAGCGCTCGCTACGTGATCGGAAGATCGTGAATTCGAATCTCGGCGGCGACTGACCTTCGCCATGCGCTCGACACTTTGAAGTGAAAGTTGCGGATCCTTCGGATGAGACCTTAAAAACCGAGGCCCCTGTCACGGCAGGCGTTGGCACGATAAAGATCCATCACTGCTCAATGGCCCCGAGTGCCGAGTAAAGATCAAAATTTGAAGCCCTTCACCGGTATATGGTGACGTCTCTATATGAGTGAAAAATTCTCTAATGGAACTTCTACTTGAGAAGACGAAAACACTTGCTGTGGCCTTCAACTAGACATTTCGATATATCGACGACGTATTATCAATTAACAATAGTTACTTTCATCCATATGTCGACTCGATATATCCCAGTGAGCTTGAAATAAAAGATACTACAGATTCTGACACATCTGTTTCATATTTAGATATTTTACTAGGCAAAGACGTTAATGGTAACCTAACAACAAAACTTTATGATAAACGTGATGACTTCAACTTTTCAATCGTCAGCTTCCCTAACTTATGCAGCAATATACCCTTATCACCTGCATATGGGGTTTATGTCTCTCATTTGATTCGATACGCAAGAGCATACTCTACGTATGAACAATTTCTAAGGCAAGCTATTGACAAACAAGTTGACGAAACAAGGATATCAACAGTCTCGTTTGAAGTCATCTTTTCGCAAGTTTAAGTCGATACAATGACCTAGTCAGCACATACGACCTGTCATTGTGTCAAATGCTGACTGACGTTTTTCAAACTAATTGTCAGGCCATTTTATTCTTACACTGAACTGTCTACAGATTTTTCCGGTTTTTGTTTCCCGATCATGACAAGGAGCACACGGCGGGTGTGACAGGTCGGCAGGGGATGCTCACTCTTCCATGGCACCTGATCCCACCTCTAAATTTTGAGGTCCTTGTTTGCTCTGCTCCAAATTTGTATCGTTTCATTGGACTTTCGAGATTGAATACTGTTCGTTATCTTCCTATTTCACGTAAAACAACATACAATCAATCAAGCAATCGCATTTTTGTAGATGAATATTAGTACTTTGTAGTGTTGAGTTTTAACGTACATGAAGTTAATTATGTATAGGAAGCAAGTTTAGAGAAAAATTAAAAAACGTTCACCTACTTAATCAGTTCAAGGGCTGAAAATTTGACATCTTTTTTTAAAAAATGAAACGGAAGAATTTTTATTTCCTAACAAATAAATGAATTAAAACTTGAAGAATTACTTTCTCATGACAAGGAGTATACATAAAATGGTAAAAAAGAAAGCAATACTAATGTTGCCGTGGTGATTTTTCAAATCACTGCATCGAGTGTGATGATAAACAGCATGTAGGTTATGGCTCAGAGGATATGAGGATAGTAAAATCTTATGAGAAAACAAATCAGAATTTTGTTCTTAAAAATAACTTTGCTATGCATTATCAGACTTTATTTCTGCAGTCTCCTTGTATTTTTAGGTCAGAGACCAGAAGAGCTTATGCATTAGGCCCAGTAAAATGCCCGTCTGTTAAATATTTTCCAAAAGGCTACTCATCTTAAAGTTTCAAATGGTCTGTTATCAACCAGACCTGGTACAGAGGTAGACTATACTAAGATAGATAATTCTATGTATCGATTGTTTTAGTTTTGACAAACGGTGTTGACATGATTATTAAAAGAAAGAAAGAAAAACCCTTTCAAACACTACTCCTCCTACAGTTTTGGTCTGATTTCAATAAAACTTGGTACACAGGTAGACTCTACTTAGATTTGGTATTCGGTTTTTCAGTTATGAATCGGTTTTTCGAGTTCGACAAACAGTGTTGTCATAGTTACTGAAAATAGAAATATCTGTGCAATTCTTTTAAAATTCTACTTCTCCTTCAGTTTAAATCCTATTTCAGTAGGTGGACTACACCTAGATAAATAATTCTATATATCGGTTTTGATTTCAACAATCGATGTTTCCATTTGTCATTATAAATAAAAATTTCTGTGAAATTCTTTCAGAACATTACTCCTCCTACATTTTTAGTCGAATTTATTATAAATAAATATTTCTGTGAAATTCTTTCAGAACATTACTCCTACATTATAACTATAACTATATTATTTTGCCCTCGAACCCAGTCAATAAATGTTTTGTACTTTTTATTTATTTATTTTATCATTATTATTTTTTGACATACATGTATGTCGAACACCAACGAATGCAAATGAGATTTAGCTGACCCCGCCCATTATGTGACGTAAGCGGTCAAGCATCTCATCTACAGGTCCAATATCTCACTCTGCAGTCAAACATCGATTTTTTTATGCCCGCTCAGTAAAACATTAGAAATGTTAGATTTTTTTTAGTATTGATTTGTATAGGAACAAATTTTATAGGTATAACAAAAAACTTTGTTTAAACTTGTTTTCTCTGGAAATTTTTTAAAATTACGAATTTCGAAAAGCTCTTTCACGAAGAAAAATTTATTGTGTATTAATAAATAAATGAAAACTATAATCCAGAAAATGCAGAGTATAAATGCAAGGGAGCAAAACCAACACACCAGTATTTCAAATGCTGCAAAGTTGACAATTGAACACACCCGGTAGAAGGTAAACATTAACAATAACAGAGCTCGTGCCAATGTTTACCAACATAGAAATTTGACCTTATTTTATGCAAAATATCGTAGTCATTGGATTTTTTTGAATTTTCATGTTACATGTAGTTCAATTCATGAAACTAAAGTTATTTTCAATAAAAATACAAGGGCAATGCCACTGTGTCGAGGCCTCTTTAAATGGCGTTGTTTTGACATAAGCTACAGGATGGGGCTTAAAGGATGTTTTTTTGTCATGAACTTAAGTATGGACTCTAAATGGTATTGGTATGGCCATAATGTACATAATGGAGGCTTAAGGATACTTTTGGGTTATAGATGAGGTTAAAAAGTTTTGTTTTGCCATAAGCTACAGCATGTGGATTTAATGGCGTTGTTTGGTCACAAGCTACAGTTTGGGGTCTACAGAGTGTTGTTTGGTCATAAACTACAGAGTGGGGGACGTATATGTAGGGTGTTGTTTGGCGAGACGGCAGGGGGCTAAGCCATAAACTTTAAGATGGGGCTAAAGCGTGTGTTCTGGTCATATGCTACAGGACGGCCGCAGAAGCGTGTGAATTGGTCGTAAACTGCAGGATTAGGGCTGAGATGTGAGGTTTGTCTGAAATGGATGTTGTTTCTGTTGGAATCTTTATCAACTTCAAATCCTTACCAGATTAATACCAAACCCTGTCGTTGCGAGCAAAATTTGATGATTTGAAGATATGTACATGTATGTACAAAATTGTGTTCTTAATTTTTTTTCCCTGTCAACTTTCATGAACAATTAATAAAAGACAAAACCATTGGAAATCGAATGATTTATTTTGAATCGATGACAATTGCTACTATATGCTGAAGTTTAGAAACGATGGGGAAGCTGATGAATATATCCAAATGTACGTCCTTCGTGAAGCATATTGATAAAACATTAACAAAGAATGAATATTGCACGAGTTTTGTAGATCTTGAACAATATACAACTAGAATATTTCAACGATTTTTTTTTCTGCAAAAATGTTCCATTGTCATCTACACATCATTGAAAAATAATACTGTTTCGACATAGTACATTAATACGAAGACATATGCATTTTTCTAACATTGCAGGATGTTTTTGGATAGTTGCACTCTGTACTATGAGGAAAAAGTGTACGCAAATTGAATATGACAACTGTCATATTGCTGTACTACTCTCATATTTCTTCGTGTTGTCTGTAGCAACTAAAGTATACTCTGAATTGTTTGTTGCTGTATAATTGGCCTTTTCTGGTTTGATATGTGTATTATCAGTGGTCACTAAAGTATATTCTGTTTTGCTGGAAACTGTATTTTTGTCTTTTTTCGATTTGAAGAGTCTCCAGCAACACAGTTTTCTAACTTCTCTACGAAAAATTTCTCCAGTTATATAGTAAATAAAGAAGTAACAGGAATAGTTTGACATGCAGATTTCCTCTACAACTTTTCTTATTGTCATATATCGCAGGTATCTCTTCCACATTGGATCTGAGGCCATCGTGTCCATATCTGCTACTTGTCCGGGTTTGATAACCCCTTGCAGTGCAAAGACAATGGATGCCGGAAGAAGTGTGCATATTAAGTAAAAGGAAACGGATAATAAAGTAATTGTTGAAGTTTGGCCGCCACATCCCCTCGTTTGTTGTGGTAAAGCACTTTGATATGTAATTCTTCTAATCTCTCTGATAACCAGGATGTTAACTACCAGAACGCACACGGGAACAAACATAAATAACGTCAGTTCGGTCGTCAGAGTCCAAATCTTTTCAAATTGTTCCACATCCTCCGAAGGGTAGCACGTTCCTTCGGAGGGATGAAACTGCCAGATATATGTCTGTAGCGATGCAATTTGTAACGAAAATATAAGTAGACCTATAGAAACGTATATTGCACGTTTCACAGTGCAAAATCTCTCCTTCACAAAAGGGTGATTTACAGCAATGTACCGTTCCACGGTGAAAGCGAGAACCAACAGTGGTGCATAATACTGGGGTACATAAATTGCCATGTTGAATACCTCACACATAACTGACATCCTGGTGTAGGATGTAACACCCCATGCAAAATTCAACTCTTGAACGATGTGTAGAAGTAGAAAAATGGTATGTACAATTGATAGAACACCGACATATATGGCCGACGAATTGTTCTTTCGCATCTTCCTGCTAAGCCATATTTTTGTTGTGATAGGATTAGCAATTAGGCCTATAACATAGAAAATCGGTGAGATGACACGGTCTATGATTGAGATCTGGGGTGCTAGATGATTGAAAATGTCGAGATAATTTTGTGGAATATCGCTGTAGTTTGCTGTTGGTGCTGACACGCCGAACGTTGAATTTTCCATGACTCTGAAACAAACAGATTCATTATGTATTGACATTCTTTGAAAATGCTCATTACAATCAAATTGAAAGCGGTATTTTTATTCCATTGCCGTTTTAGTTTTTCTACCGATCACGTAAGAAAAATTATTTGTCTCCGTGTATTCTCTTTCTTTTTTGAAGTATATTTGTAACTACATTTAATGTAAACAATATTCCTTTTGAAGGAAGTGATCGGAAAATGTAATATTCAGATGTCAAACCAGGCTCCGGGGCCATAAAACTTAGACGAGCTCACTTTTGATCTCAGTCTCACTTTTACTAAAGGAATGTATAAGGGAAAAGTGAGACTGAGATCAAAAGTGAGATCATCTAAGTTTTATGGCCCCGGAGCCTGGTGCCTACTTAAAGGCATAGAATGTTTAGAACAGACAAACACCTAATAAACTAATGTACAAGTAAGAGTTACTCAAAACACCAACGAACGAATAAACTACCGTAAAGGGGAAGGGTGTACTTCCGTTTTGGAAGTCAATGAAATTCTTGCGCATGTAGAACAAAAACGTAAGTTTATTCACCGTATGACTGTATATATGTTTGCATGTCAAAGTAAATGCATTATAGAAGCACCTTAATATTTTACATGTTCTAAAAGATGTACATGAAGCTGTCGGGGCATTGTAAACAAAGTAGTCCGTCACGTATTGTGTGTGCCAATGGTTACATTTGCTGGATGCCTTAAATGGAAGCAACTGTGATCGGCTCTGGTCGATCACTAAAATAACAAGCTAATTCAAAGAATTTGTGTCCCCAGCTCAGGGAAAAAGGAGAGCATGCGCAGTTCGGGGGGGTGGGGGGGGGGTGGTTTCGGACCTCCCCCCCTTTGGATTTGCAGAATTAGTTAATGTAAACATGTATATTGCAGCAAATAAAAAATACCAATATGGATATAAAGATGTGTTTGCTTATTCTTTTTATATGATGAATACTATCATTTAGTAAATAAAAAAAATTCAAAAGAAACAAAACAAAACAAAACGGGATCGTCCGGGATTTGAATCCGGGAACTCTCATTTGCTACGCAAGAATCAAAGAGGCACTTGATTATACATCAAATTAAATGCAAACATTAGGTCACATATAATGTTTATATTCACATTCGATATTGTCGAAATTTTACACAATACATGGTGTCTAATTTAGCCTTTACTAAACAGTTCTAATAGATGTAATTAGAATACAAAGTCCGTCGACAACATGTATTTTATGTAATAACTCTCCACATGCCCCTGTGCTAAAAATAGTACCAAGCGACTTTTAATATGATAAAAAAAACGGGGTGGGACACTAAGAGAGGGGCGAGAGAAGCCATAGGGAGTTTTGGTATAAAATTTCATTGCAAAAGCTTCTTGAGATATCGCCCGGAAACGAAAGTGTTACACACAGCCAGAATGTCTGAATTTACGACCTTAAACTTTGACCATTTGACCTCAAAATCAATAGGGTTCTGTTTTAGGCCATAAGGAGTTGCTATGTAAAATTTCATTGCGAAAGCTCAAAGGGTTCTTGACATATCGCGCGAAAACGAAAGTGTTACAGACAGACAGAAATACAGACCGACGGACAGACCGAAATTAATATCCCCCACTTTCAGTGAAAGCGGGGGACAAAAATCAAAATATTTTATTCAAATTTACATGCAAAGCAGCGCTGTGCATTTTTGAGCTTTTGTGGAATTTTACAGATGTTCAATGTAGAACGATGAAAACTCATTTTTCGGATTTTTTTTCGATTAAAGTTGAAAATTATGTTGTAAAGAGCACAATTGCATCATACAAACGTTTCAATGACTCCCTCTAACTAACTTTAATTGAAATGGGACCATTTGTTGCTCACAAACACCAAAAACTAAGGAAGACTTTGAGTTTGAGGAAGATTTTGAGGTCAAAAGGTCAAAGTTCAAGGTCGTAAATTCATATATTCCGTCTGTGTGTAACAATTTCGTTTCCGGGCGATATCTCAAGAAGCTTTTGAGATTTTGCAATGAAATTTTATATCATAACTCCCTAGGGCCTCTCTCGCCCCTCTCAAAGTGTCCCGCTCCGTTTTTTTTAAATTATTATTTATTGTATTAAAAGTCGCTTGGCACTATTTTTAGCACAGGGGCATGTGGAGAGTTATTACGTATAATACAGGTTGTCGGCGGACTTTAAGTTAGCCTTTACTAAACAGTTCTAATAGATGTAATAAGAATATAGACACCATGTATTGTGTAAAATTTTGACAATATCGAACGTGAATATAAACATTATATGTGACCTAATGTTTGCATTTAATATACTTGATATCAAATGCCTCCGTGATTTAGGGGTATGACTCTCGCTTAGCATGTGAGAGGTGTGGGGTTCGAATCCCGGACAATCCTTCTTTTTTCAAATTTTTTTTACTAAATGATAGTATTCAGCATGTGAAATGAAAAAGTTATGACGTTTGGCTTGTACAAACTCATAAAATCATTATTACAGTGTGATACATATCCTATATAAAAAAAATCTTTTATACACATATTAAAGAATAAGCAATCAAATCTTTATATCCATATTGGCATTTTTATTTGCTTCTATATACATGTATACATTTAATAATTCTACGAATCCAGGGGGGGGGGGGCGTCCCCCCCCCCCCCCCCGAACTGCGCATGCTCTTCTTTTTTCCTTAAGCGGGGGACACCAATTCTCTGAATTAGCTTGGTACATATAATACAGGTTGTCGGCGGACATAATAATCTATTTACAGTGTACATCTATTGGAGCTAAATTAGACACCATGTGTTGTGTAAAATTTTGACAATATCGAACGTGTCAAAACGAAAAATTGGACGTTATAGGACAGTGGAAATCTGTGATATTTTCAGGCAAAGCACAAGTATTTATTGGTCAAACGAAAAATATTTATTTAGAAAAAACTCAATGAGAAGAGGTGAATAACACGTAAAACACTAATATGCACGAAGGATTTGATCCGCGCCCAGTTTCATACAAATAGATATAGACAAGTGGAAATCTGTGATATTTTCAGGCAAAGCACAAGTATTTAATTGATGGTTTAACGAAAAATATATATTTAGAAAAAAGCCAAATAGAAGTGGTGAGTAACACGTAAAGCACCAATATGCACAAAGTACATGTATTTGGATTCGCGTCCAATTTCATACAAGCAGTTTTCTGGGTCCGGACCCCCCCCCCCCCCCCTTAAGCGGGGGACACAAATTCTCTGAATTATCTTGTAACTAATGCATTGAAAATTGCAGGGGCAGTAAAGGATTTATAAATACTTTGGATTTTTTTTTTCAAAACCGTACATGTATTCACTATCTGTGCAAGAATTCCAACTGACCACACTAAGATTCTTTTCACACACTTAAGTGCTTTAGGCCTACCCCCTGCTGTTTTGTCAATTAACTATATTATTAAAATATTGGACGAACTTAATTATTCAATGGGTGAAGTGAGTGATCTAATGTTTAATTTTTTCCCACACTTGTTATCGTCGGAACTATCACAATACCACATTGATTTCGGCATACAAACATCTCTTGATATTAAGAAAAAGCTTAAGAAAGTCTGTATGCAGTGTAAGTTAATATTGATAACGGCCCTAAAATCATGCCCATGTTATTGGAATAGCTTTTTTATGTCTTCTTGCATGCGATGGTAATGTCAAAGTGTTTTAGTTCTTTGGAAAATCCTAGCAACCTTCATTTCTTTGTAATGCTTAGTTCAATCATTTCGCACCAGGGCACGTGCAAAAATGTAGGAATTCCAAACGACGCCATTTTAAACTCCATAGAATTGATCAGATTTTAATTTTTTTGTTGACAACTTAATTTTTTTTTCAAATCCTGGCACGATGTAAATTCAAAATTTATTCACAGCATAGCATTGAAAATGATGTAAAATTTTAATGAATTCATATTTCGTTTCTATTTTTCTTGTGATGAATGAACTTCACATTAAACATCTTAATAAATTCTATAAAACGGATCCCAAGCAAGGTAAGTGTTTTTTTATGAGAAAAACAAAAAGATTTGGACTGCAAAAACGAATAGGGCTTTTGAAATTTTGTACGCCTCTTTTTACACCTCAGGGACTCCACTACTTCATCAAAAGAAACGACAGATTCGATAAGAGTATATGTCTTTTCCTTGTCAAAAATAATTCCGGTATCCGTTTGATAAACAGGATTTCTAGATGCTGGAAGTCTATGGTTTCTCATAATTGATCATATTCAGATATCAAGACTGTAACAGCTAGTGAAGCGAGTAAATATCGCGTGTATGGAACGCGTTTTACGTACTTAGTAAACCACACAAAGCTTGTATGAATGGAAATAAAGGTTGTTTTTCGCTCTACGTTTTACGGACAACAGAAAGTCATAGGAATCCTTATCTCTTTCATTAATTCTGGCAAGTTATCTTCTATTAATGCAAAAATATTCGGTCTAGTTTTTATCAACTAGCGATACTTTGTCAAATCATTTCAATGAGTTTTTTTTTTAGGGAGAAGATAATTCGGGTAGAGCCACTTAATATTTTAGCAAAATGACAGTAAATGGATTGTTTATCATTCAACTCGGGTTTCTAGATATGGTAGAATTTAAACAGGCAAAAGTAATAAATAATGCTTTGGTATTCAATTAATGATTGTTTTTAATGAAGTTTCAGTCTGAAATTGAGTTCTGAAATTGATTATGTAAAAATAAGATCGATATTTTATTAACGCAGTGCGATCAGTCATGTCACACGATGTTGATTAATCTGCCCTTTATCAAACGGACTCCTTCCAAAAATAAAAAAAAATGCAACAAACACATACATGTATAGTAAAGAAAAAAAATATGATTTTTTTTAAATTTCTGATTGCAGAAAACATACCCTAAAACATTTTAAATCATTTCTTTCAAATTTGTTCAAACGTGTTTTGATAGTGATTCCTGATACGTAAAAAGAAAGGTAAACAACATACATA